ATAAATGGTAATAATTTCCATTAATAAAGTGGGAAAACTACTTACTAATTATTGGATACAAGTAAAACTCCGATAATAATGGAAATATTGCAGAACATATCGAGAGCCACCACTTTCAGAAGGAATTAATTGCAAGTCAAGAAAGTTTTATGTTCAATTACAGGCTCATAGAACGATGAAAGAACGAGCATATGACTGGCTTATGGCCAACTTTGTATTTGCAATTGTACTTTTTCAGAATGAGGTTTTTCCAATTTTGCAGGAACCAAACAAGTTTCCTCTGTTGGCCGTGTACTAACTAAGATGAGAATTCTGCAAAATTCGGAGTAGAGGATGACTGAACGCTTTCGTTTGACAGTTGAATGCACGGCGCATCCCAAAAGAATGACCAAACTCTCTCTTGAGTTATGTAGACGGATAGCTCTTCTGGTAGCAAAGACAAAGGTAGCGGAGGAAAGTTCCAAAGACAGGCAGTGAACAGCAGCAAGGTTTTTCTTATTCCCCAAAAAACCACATTCTCAAAATCTAAGCTGAGCAGAATATGAGGGATACAGATGACATTTGACTCGGGTTCTCGATTGAAGGCAACGATGATGGCTGGAGGGAGTCGCGGTTTTAATGGCACCATTGAACGTTATTGAAAGGCTTTCATATGCAGCCTCAACCATGCACCCTAGCGCTTTGAGAGGTTTTGCCCAGTGACGTTCAATGACGTCACCAAAACCGCTCCGCCCTCCAGCCATCATGATCACTGCCTTCAAGGAATCCGCATCAAGAAAAGTTTACTATTAGAATAAATAATTTAAAAAGCAAAACTTGAGGATTGTCGGACGAAGGCGTTGCGTTGCGGTTTTGGAATCTATGTAGTCCAGCTCAGATCATTTTCATTCATCGCGGAGGTTTGCTGACAGAAGCACTTATTCGAAAAGATGAAAACATCGATCGGTCATCGATTTTCTCGCACAAGTGCACACTATGCAGCATTTAAACAGCTAGCTGTTATTCAACTAGACAGTGGATGTATGGCGCATCTTTAGAAATATCGTTCACGGAAAATTCTTACATTCTTTTCAAACATGAATATGTCAGTTGTGATCACTAGAGACAACGCACAAAGTTTCACGCAAGAAGATTCAGTTTCCGAAGAGAAACAAACCTACGAAAACACACTCTGGGGACGGTCGCGGGTAGGTTGGGCGGTGACAAGTAAGCGCATGGAAAGAAGTATGCCTTGAGGTGGCCACGCCTTAGGGAACGCATTGAAAGAATAGATGGAAGCATTTGAATTTTGATGATAGAGACAAAACGATAGAATAGGATGCAGTAGAAGTGTGAGATGTCAGTGCAATAAGTCAAAAGGTCAAAAAGAGTTTCTAGTGACAGCACTCCGTGAACCAAGTGGAAGCGTTCCCACCGCCAGCATTTGTGACAGATGTCCGGCGGGAATTTGAACGCGTAGCAGTCCTTCCGGTTTTTCGAATTGTTTACCAAAACAAATGCAATTTTTTTGTTCTTTTCGTTCTTATCGTGAATGATGGGTCTCAAGCCAGTGATTTATGGGTGAGATAGAATCGTGATTTTTCCGCGAAGGATTCCTTTAATCATTTCTAGACAAGGCTGACGATGCCTTATTGTGGAGAAGAGGACTACAATTTATAGAACGGGAACAAACATGTTGGCGGCTATTGCTTCATCTTTCTTAGTAAACTGCAGACTATTTTTAATTACAGGAAGCTTTGAAGATTGTGAAGAAGTCAAATAAGCAGTATTGAAAGAGCCGTAGAACTTGAATATTGATAATAAGCAGACAAGAAAAAACCAAAAAAATGCTAAGGTAGGTATAAAAAGAAGCACGGCAACCGACAGCTGATAGGGCCTTTCCAGGAGTGGCCCAGTAATGGCGGTAGAATATCGCAGCGCGTTGCTCTACAGTAGACTTCATAGATCTTACTGTTGGTTTCAAGTTATACTAAATGTAATACGTAAAATGCTTTATTTTTATCGGCAAGATGATAAAATCTTTCCCACACCAGTGCATAGAAGAATTTGTCCTAGAAGAAACGAGCTTCTCTTGCCTTGGCCTCAGCTCGACGTTTGCTCAGTTTAGTCATGAAATTGAAACAAATAAAATAAATGGCCGCACAACCGTTACGATGACGCTTGTTACATTGGACGCTGGTAGGACTATCAGGATCACCATCCATGTCCCCAGGTGTGGCTATAACCTCATCGGAACCCGCTTGTTTCTTCTGAGTAGGGCTATGTAAGTCTGGTTGAGAACTTTCGTCAGATGTGTAATGCGCGGATTTCTCAAACGGCATGGCATGAGATCATAGATCCTGTCGGCTTCTTGGATCTATCAGGGCATTGACAGTATTCTGCGTCGGCTCCATTTCCTCCAGGTCTTCCAGCAGGACCAGGAATACCGTCAGGCCCTGCGTCACCTCGTGCACCCTGCAAAATAATGGAAATTTATACCGATTGTTTCTTGAGAAAGGCTCGCTTTGCCTACCACTGGTCCAGGTGCTCCTTGAGGTCCAGGTACCATGTCGTCTCGCTTCTCAAGCAGACCCTGCGTCTCGCAGGTGTCTCGGTGGTCCGCATCTCTCCCGATCGAGGACTGGGGCCTTTGCAGATCAAAGCGCTGCTTCTCTCCGTGGAACCTTACAGCACTCCCATGGTTATCCGTGATATTGGAGATTCAGGAAAAGTCCTGATATAACCTCGGAGCTCACTGCACAAAGTGTTGGGATGTCCCAAATCTGCCTCAGGTCAGTTATCTCGAAGGTTCCGTGCTACAGCTCGTCGGAGGTCTTGTTTGCCCTTAAAGTCTGCGCTGTGATTTCTGAAAGGGTTATAGGAAGAGAATGTTAAGTACTTAGGCCTGGTCGCTCTTTCCATTGTACCGGAGCAAGGCGCTGGTGGTAGCAGCTGGGCACGTGAACAGTACACGCACTAGTGCTCATCAGCAGTCCTTTCTATTACGATTCTTTCCAGGTACACCGTTTAAGCCATCGAGTCCTAAGTTTTTAAAAATAAGCAGGACCAAGCAATTTTATGCGAGCAATAAGGTCAAAAACAAACCATCAGGCCCTTTGTGTCCTGGTGCGCCCTTTGGTCCTGCAGGACATACTAGTTGCTGCTTTCTAGCTGGACTGTGTACCGCTACCGCTGGTGCAACCTTTGCCTTTTCTGAATAGGGAACTGCTTCCGGCTCCACGGGTTGTGCTTTATCTGAATAAAAAAGGAAATTAGGCTGAACCAGAGGGGGGATGCGAAGCCTTGTGGTACTCACACGTTTGTCGTCGAGTTCTGCGGACTTTTCCGCCCTCACTGACGAGGTCCTTCCACATGAGGTTGGACATTTCCTCATAGTTGATTCGAGATTCGAGAAGTTCCTCTTCGATATTGCTCATCATGGTGAACAGGACTGGCATAGAAGTGACCTGAAGATGTAGAGGTTTACGAAGGGCTCCTTTAGGTCTAATTGGTTCAATCTATGCGCTTCATTGATGGGAAAAAAGGTAAAGCTCAAGTTAAACTGACAAGCACGATCAGTGAGACTCCTGACATCAGAATCGCCAGATTTGCTGAGCATCGCAGCATTGGCGGGCACTTTTCTTCCATCTGAGACGACCGAATAACCGCTGCTAAAGGAATCTGAGAAGTTGTAAGCTGTAGATTGTAAAGGGCTTAGAACTTGCCTTTTATACTCCGAAGTGACGATTTTTATCTCCATCCCCTTCCGGAAACAATTTCCTATCAAGTAGTCGATCTCTCCCCGACATACTTTCTCAAACGAGTCCACTCGGGAAGCAGCTGTGATTCATCGCTCCACTGAGGCATGAACTATGACAGAAAATGTGATCAACAACACTAGTTCCCGTAGGCTGAGCTGTGTATCTGAACGCTCTACAGAAGAGTGAAGACAGTTGATTAGATAGTTGGCCTAAAGAAGCGCTCACATGGGCTAGACGATCGTGTAAGTGTCCCCCAAACAAACCTTGCACGACTTGCTTAGTTTAATTCACTTCCATGAACAGTTAAGTTTGTATACGCAAGGACTCGAATAAGGACTTGAGTCCTCGAGGCCCTTGCAAAGCCTGCAAGGGCCAAACAGCAAGTCTTCTCACTACGCTGCTTCACTCACAAGCTGAGAGTGAGACAATGAAATAAGACAATGAAATTAGTATCTTCCCAATAGGGTCCGCAAAGCAAAAAGCGATCACCCTGGAGAAAACCTTTAGAGTTCGGCGTTCGATGAATGAGTTCATAATTAACCCATAACGGACGGCGTGCGCCACAAGGTGGCGCACGATTATTTCTTTTGTTTTTGGAATGTTTCTAGCAATCTTAATATACCCATATATACTCTCAGCAATGTGGAATAACATATCTTCCCAGGACCTGGACGGCTGGATTTTTGACAAACCTACAATAAATTTTACATACATTTTGTCTTAGTTTACTATTTGATGGGTGGCTTACCCATGGTTCGCACGTCCCGAGACCCCTTCCCCTAAATATAGCCACATCCTTGCTCGGGGTTGTTGTTTCGCATTTTTCGATAATGTCACCTACAGCTTCCATTCATTCTTTGCACCCTAGTTTTAGAGCGGAAAGGCGGGCTACGAACTTGTCGTCAACGGAAATCTCTTTTTCGGATGATGAGACTCCGACACCTACTTTAGCCCCGTCTTACCCCTGCTGTTCACATAAGCCTACATAAACCCTACCCTGGGTGGCGGCGTGCGCCACATGGTGGCGCACGCAACAAATACACTGGCCGTCCGTTATGGGTTAAACAGCAACGAATTTAGTAGGTAACACAAAACAAACCAGAAACTGTATTATTTTGACATCATTTCCTTCTGCGGGTCTGCCGCAGTCGCAGACTCATGGGCATAACCTCCCCTTCAAAAAGCGAGAAAGTGTCGGGTGCAGACCAAACACCACAACTGACGACGGCCTCCAAGTAAATCTGGTTAGAAGTTGTTCATAGTGATAGCTGATTTCTGGTAAATGATAGTTGTAATTAGTGACAATGATAGAATACAACTGCAACAGGCTAATCATTTCATTGGCAGAAAACATTAACATTTTGTGAAGGTCGTCTTGTGGTGTATGGTCTGCACCCGACACTTTCTCGCTTTTTGAAGGGGAGGGTACGTAGTTCGCGGGCAATGGTCCCGAAAAAATCAATAATCTGTGGTTTTTGATAAGTTGATGCCATCTGGAGCTATGTGTTGTTGATTCTGCAATCACGACCTGGCGAGGACAGCTTGTATGTCACAAACATTGCCTATACGAGCATTTAAGCTCTCAGAACAACGAGAACAGGTTCGTCGTTTCGAATACAAAAAGGAAAATCTATGGCCAAACGATGGAGAAAAATCGGAAATAAATTCCGCAACGTCACTGGTCAAACCTATACATACATTTCATCTCTTTAGCAAATCACTTGTGGACCTTCCTTGACCACAATGAAGTTCGCTGCACTCTCCTACGGTATACAGTGGACAAAACTTGACCTTAGCTTGTCGTGAAAAGTCGACAGATTGGGCACCGATGCCACTCTGAAAGACACTTACACTGAAATGCCCCAGTTCATCACATCGGAATCAGTGAGATGGAAAAATGTTGAAGGAAAC